TTTTTCCTCGTTTGTACTCTATGTTATAAACGAAATAGCAACTGACCAACAGAGTTATTGCGGTTATCACAGAGTTATCCTCAACCTCCATTAATTCTCTCTTCTCTGCCCCAATGAAGAGTTGACGAACTTTTTTGTCTTCCATAATTGCGACAAGAAATGGTTCGTTGCCTTTGTTTGAGAATAATTCTTTCAAGTTGCAACCAACCTAAAATAAGCAAAAACAATTTAGATGAATCGTTTATTAACTCAATTATTGCAGTCCTACGACTGAATTACATTTGGTTGGTATAAAAATTATAAATACATACACTGTAAAAACTGATAGGTTAAAATAACAAAAAAAATAGGTTATTTGGTTTGGTCTAGGACAACCCGATAAATATAGGTTATTTCAATAGGTTAAAAGAACTGAAAATAAATAGGTTAAAACAAACCATTACAAATGGGTTGGTTTATACCCATAAGAAATAGGTTGTTTTAATAGGTTTTAATAAGACAACTAAAATTATAAATAGGTTAAAGCAAACCATCGCAAATGGTTACTTTAACCTATAAATCTGTAATATGTCATTTTAACGTATTAATTATTGGTTGATTGAACTAAAGATTTATGGTTATTTTGACTAATTAAAAAAGTTATTCCAACCTATATTCAAAAGTTAAAATGACTAAAATTTAAATGTCAAATTGAGCATATTTCAACCAAATAAATATAGGTTGTTCACCAACAATATTTTGGTTGATTTGGTCAATTTTTTTAGTTATAACAACCAGTAAATAACGGTCAAGGTCGGAGTACGAAACAGCGCGCAATTTCGTTGGTTAAATGATGTTGCGTCATGGTACTAATGTTTAAAAATTGTTCATATATATATATATATATTGCATGCAAATATTTAAAATAAGTTCGTTTTTATTTCCTTTCGTGATATGTACTCAGGGATAAAAGAGTCCTTAATTAAATCTATTTGTCTTAATTGTTGGGAGATTATATTTCCTAATTGTTCTGAAGGTATAAACAGCCTTATTCATTTCTGGTAAAAGTCCGTGAAGTTTGTGGTCTTCATTTTCTTCAATTTCACTAAAGTTTTTCACATAGTTTCTCTCTACGGTCGTTTAGTCTTTCTAGGTTTCCCATTTCAAACGCTTCTCTATAATCCACGTAAGGAAAAATAATTCTTAGGGCTCTTTTCTGAATTTGTTCAATTTCTTTTGAGAAATAATTTGGAAGGCCTGAGTGAAAGGCCTGACAAGCGTATTCGAGGACAGATCTGATACAGGCGCTGTAGAATTTGATCAATGAATTAGAATCGACCTTCGCACGTTTTAACTGTTAGATAATATATTAATTGGTAATAAACATCGATAATTAGTAATAAACATCGTAAGGAAATTTTTTAAAGTTGTAAAATAATTTATAATTCATCAAGCTGGTTTGGAAAACAGAAAATAAATCAGCGCTTGATGAGGCGTTTTGTATATCTGATCCAAAATTTTTCTTGTTAATTAAAACACCTGCACTGTTTAAGTTTCTGAGAAGTATGATATAGAGCATGCGCGGTCTTGTTGCATCAGGCATATACAACTGCCTCAGTCGGTTCGAGTTTGCATATAAGATACAACACGGCCCCTCATGCTGCACGAGTTTCTGGCGTTTCTCTCTATAACGTGAGAATTATATGGGTTGAAAGTCCTGAGTCAATTTCGCGATGTTTCTATACAATACTACTTTGTGCATGTTAGGTAAAATTTATAATAATTTTTATATTGTATATACCTCGCACTGAAATATGATAAAATTCTTCTGCTTGCATAATTTATCATGTATCATCTTGAATACCCTCCATATCTCTTCATTACTGATGCTGGTAACATCTTCTTTGTCTTCAAATTCTCCCGTAATTCCAAGAGCTACGACAATTGGCTGAAAACATGACTGTAAATTGACTGTTGCATCCTCTTTAACATCTTTCAAAGCTGTTATGGATGAGCATTCATGTAATATCTATAAACAATGCAAATCCTATAAGAAAAGCCACTTGCCAACTTTTACGTGCAAATGATTATTGGTTATTTGGTTTAACGCGAGAATGCGTAAACATGCGTGGATGGTATTGTGCTTGCTATTAGCAAAATTGCAACTATTAAACTGCATGCTATAATATATAAAAAAAACCCAGACTTTTCTTAGCCCTGAGCCTGCACGCGGGCTAGACTTTACCAAATGGAAACGCAATCCAAATCTCAATTTTTTTCTCAATATATAAACTGGGAGAAGAACGTATAAGTTTTCCAAAGCAATGTAGGTTATTCGGGTGAATGAACGCAAACTAACCAATGTAGCATAGTCATAAGCAGCAGCGCTGGACCGTTAATTTCCAGTTTAACAAAGGGTGCGCGGAAACACACCCATTTCACGTGACGTCATAGAACTACAACTACCTAAATTAAAGCACTTACTGCAGAGTATAATAACCTTGATAAACAAATGCAATTAGGTATTTCAAGTAAAAATGTGGAAATTTTAATTTTTTATCTCAAACCGTTTTCACCGGTCGCGTGACGAAACGGAATTTTTATTCATGGCTATAATTTTCTTTTTCATAAACAATGAATAACACTTCTTTTCACCTCGAGGTGAAAAATTAAATGTAGTTTACCGGTGTTAAACGTCATTTATTTTTGACGAAACTTGGAATTCACAATTTATAAACTTTTTTACATGTTTCTTGTGATTGAGTAAATATTTGCTTTCAAAAGAAATTATCGCCATTATCACATTTCGTGACCAGTCACGTTATTTCCGTTTACTCCAAGGTGGTTTTTGAAAATCAAAATTCACATATATATAATTTTACTTACAACACCATATTGTATTTGTTTTTCAATATTGTGTTTGTTTTATTACTCTGCAAGCGCTTTAGTCCTGTTGTTGTGGCGTCAGGCGTCCATAGGGTGTTGGTCATCCGAAATATAGGGGAACATACGAGTCATTTTACAGCATGACCAACTAAATTAAATATTATATGCACACCCTGCAACACCTAGTAGTTTAAACAACATAGTCAGAGATTAATTAATTAAGTCAGAGATTAATATGTATATTTTAACACACATATATTATATGCAAAATATATTTACCCATATTGGATTCACCAAGAATGGAAACTCATGACAGATCTTCGAAATGGACATGAACTCTTCGTTGCAAATCCAGTTTCTTCTGATTGGGTACGTCTCTTGCAACAATTTCTTCACAGCTTTGGTATTTACTTTAGTAGCGTTTAACTGTTTTTTCAATTCCTCACACATTCTCCTATAAGCAGTTTCATGCACCTGATCACCTTGTTTGTTATGTTCGACATTATCTTCCGGTATTGATGCAAGACTTCTTGGTTTGTTATTTGTTGGTGGCAGGGTGCTTTTACGTCTTGCATTTCTAAACCCCTGTTGCAACTGATTGAGCAACGAAGACTAAATACGTACACAAAAAAAAAATCAGTATATAAAAATCAGTAAAAATATCTCATAGAACAACTTTAGAGCAAATTGATGCTGCCTCAAAACTATCAAGTTTTAGTTTAATCAAGAATCAACTCGGGAAGGGGGATTGAGTACCGAGCCTCACATTTTCTAGTTTTTTTTTTTATATATCGGACCGCCAATTAAGATCGTAGACAGAATCTGACAAATCAGTACCCTGGTTCCAGAAGTTTAAAATAAACCTCTGGTTGAAAGCGGCAAGTGATTCATCGAGCCGCGCCAATCAGTTTGAATTAGAGTCAGATCCTGACTCTGTCTCCTGATTGCATGATTGTGTAAAAGCTCTCTGATTGGTTATAGATGTTTTATTTAAATCAATCAGAGAGCTTTAATATAATCATCCAATCAGGAAACAGAGTCAGGATCTGACCCTAATTTAAACTGATTGGCGCGGCTCGATGAATCAGAGGTTTGTTTTTTCTGTCCCCTTCGCAATAAAAATAATAAAAATAAGCCTCTGGAACCAGGATAACAACTCAGTGGCCAGATATATTTGGCAAATGTCAACTCTACCGTGGAATTGCAATTGCTCAGAAAAAGAAATTGAATAAAATAAACTCACATATTTAATTCTAGGCGAGTCGGATTCTTTAACACCAGGATCTGACAGATGTGGGAAGTTCTTACCAATACATAACACCATTCTCTCATATTCCTGGGTAGAAGGATACGGGCAAAATCCTGCGAAGAATTCTCTTGCTTTTTTAACGAGTGTTACCCTGGCTTGGTAAAACTTTGGGTGGAAAGGTTTGTTCTTTAGGATATCTATAATATCGTCTGAGATGTTATCTGGGAGTTGAAGTGGAGAAGGCAATGTTGATCCAGGTGATTTCGTTTTCCTTCCAGGAGAACAACCACTTGATAAACCTCGTTTAGGGGAACATTCATCAACGTGTTCAGGAAGTTTTCTTTTAGGGCCAAACGTTTTGTCATTTGATGAAGCTTTGTTTTCTTTACTAGTAGATTGTAATTCGTCGGAACTCCCGGAAAACAATTCGGAACTGATTGGAAATATTTCTTTATCGATGGATTGAAGGTTGCACAATACGTCATCTGGTGTAGCTTCAAATGGCTAAAAATTCCAATATCTTGATTTATACATATATACCGAGTCAATATAGACGAGAGTCAACTTCTGATTTACAAACCTAATTATTCTGTGCGTCAGTTTGTGAATTCAAAAAAATCACTGACAGTTGCAAAATTGAATAATACTATAATTAAGTAATTATCCTGCAAATAGCCATAACAGCTAATCGATCGAGGCAAAGCAAGATACATACAAAATTAAAAATATATATTACATGTACCAAGTGAGGGGAAAAAAGTATGTCAGGTTGATTTATTATAACTTAAAAACTAAAAGAATCATTGCACTTCAATGAGTCACCGTATGCGGATAAGATAATTAATATAGTCCAAGCAAAAGAGCGGTAATTAATGGTTAATTTAAAGTGTATATAGTACGAAAAGTTGCAGCCTGACTGAGCGAGATTCTGGCCAGAATCTGGCCATAAACCAATTAAAGCAGCGGTAATTGAGCGAGACGCAACCAGACATTGGTTTTGTCTCGTTGCCTGTTACGAACGAGACATTTGTATCGCTTGTTTATGGCCGAGAATTTGGCCTGAATGAGCGTGACATCGCAAGACAAATTGTCTCGCTCAAACGAGACAATTGTCACGCTGCTTTTACAGCGGAACATGGACGATAATATAGCGAGGCAGAGCGAGACAAGCAACA